CATCTCTAAACAATTACAGAGTACCTTCGTGTTCACAATTATCTTCTGGAGCATCATCGTCGTCATCGGTGCAAATTAGTGTTGCTGCCCGACATCTATCGCCACTTGAAGAACACTTTTCGGAAACCGTCAGCATCTCTTCTGGGGGTTGTACTTCACCGCTAAAACGGCGTGAACTAGTAACCTATACGCGACGGTTAGCTATTTAATTTAGATAATTTCCTCCAAAAACAAAAACTCATTCAATCAGAAAAAAGAAAACTAGGAAAGTCATATTGAAAACTGTTGTAAGAAAAAATTTTGTTGTAAAGGTGCTTTTTTTCTCTCTTCTCTCTTTTCTATAGTTTTCAAAGCAAAATACTTTCATTTTTAGGGTGAAACTAGTTTTTTAGCCAAATCTGTTTTGAATTTTTAATGTCGACGGCTATCATCAACAACAGCAAAAAGTTTTTTGCTGAAGAAGATATATTTTGAAGCAGTTCAATACACTGAGCCTGCTTCTAAAACACTGCTGAATAAAAATTTTTTTATATTACTTTTTAAGTGACCATAAAGAGATGTTTTTTTCGTTTTATCAAAAATTTCTTGTTTTTTTTTCTTTTAGTTTATTTAATTTAAGCTGTCTAATTACTGGACTTTATAATGTCGCTCCATTCAACCGATTTTTTCCCATGCAGATCTAAACATCTCAAGCAGTAGATTGAAGTGCTATTCATGAGAGTCGTCTATAGGAACCCTGAAAGAAATTTTTTTGTTTTTCTTAGGTTTACTGACAAAAAAATCAGTAAAGTTTTTATGATGAGTGACTTATCTGGTTATTGAACAGTTTTACAACAACCGTATCAGTGATGAAATGTAAAAATGGCTTTATGTTTATATTACTGCAAAAGTTGTGAAGTTTTTATTTTGAAACACTTCTTCATTGATAAACATTAGTTTTTAATTGATTTAGTGCACTTTAAGAGAGAGCGGAAGTGATGAGAGCCGGAAGTATTTGGGCGACTAGTTTGTAATCAAATTCTTTTTGCTTGCTTTATATAACAGTTTTTCTTCCCGAGTTTGTCATCTGTTTATTCTTTAAATATTTTTTTCTTCTCATTTTAATTAGTCTTTCGTATAATTTTGAGCACTGCTATTTATCGAACAGCAGCAACAACAAGTATCTAGCTGAAGTATTTGTAGAAGTACCAACTCGCTTTATCTAAGAAAACTGTGGTTTTAAATTTGTATTGGACTTCCATCGTCATATTCTGGTCAGACTGTAGCTTTGTTTTTAAGAACTGCCACGCCACAGTCACCTCCAGATAGTAACTTTTCGGTATTTTTAACACCTAACCTCGAGAGAAAGAACGTTACCTTGACCAATGACAATGTCAGCAGTAATTGTTTCGCAGATTGTGGAAAGCGGGTGTCCGGTGAAATTCAGTCAGACGGTAGTAACTACGCTCCTATTGGTATGTCACTATTAACTTACCAGATTTTTCTGTGGTAAAGAGAAAATATTTGTTTATTAGCATAACTAAAAAGCAGAGGTACCTCTTATGGAGAATGAGGGAGAAAAGATATAAATTTGGAGTTTATAATTTAGAAGCTCTGAACACTGCATAATTTTTTTTACGAAGAAATTAAAAAATCTTTTTGCAGTTGCGTGCTTAGATTTATCAAGAGAGAAGTTGGAATTCTAGTTCCATAGGTCACGACAGTGTTCTGAATGTTTTTTCCAAACTAGCTGATTTTGCGATGAGAAAGAGCATGTTAACAAAAACACAGTTAGAGCATAAAACACGCACATAGTTTTTTTTCTGTTCAAATTTCACATACAGTTTCGTCAACGTAACAAAGCTTTTTGTTCATATAAATTTTAAGGAGCTTTATAATGGAAGCAAGGGAAAACTTCTTGTTACTGCACCTAATATTTTGCCTTTTTTTGCGTTTTATTTATCCAACGCGTTCCTCACCACTGCTGATTAGTTTTCCGATCTTTCTGATTGCTTTTCACTACTGTAATAGTACAACATCTTTTTTCAAACAACTTTTTTATCTGTTTAGTGAACTTTTTAGATATTGGCACTACCAAGTTAAGGAACTTGAAAATGAACGTTGGCACACCGGATTTCAAGCCGTCAGCCGATCTATCGTAAATTTTGCAAAATAAAAAATTTTTTCGATATCTTTAAACGTCTTCAAAATTCATTTGGTCTTTGCTACGTTGTTCTGCTCTGACTTCGTGTTTTATCTGCAGTACTTCTCGTAACGTCAACTGCCCGGAGAGCTCATCGGACGATTCATATTTTGCAAAATTTGCGAAGCTAAAGGCAGAAAACTTTGACAATGAAACGTTAAGTGGTTGTGCTAATTCTGAATCGCTGTCACTGCGTGAGAACAGAGGCAGCGGAGGTAGTTAATTATTTTTTCAAGAACTGTGTTTTTTTTGGTATTTTTTAGTGTTAATCACTTGTTAATGAGGATGATCTATTGGTTTTTAGAATGTGCACATAAGCTTGAGCGGTTTTAGAACCAAATGTTTTCTGGTATGTGGTAAAAAAACAATTCCAAGTAGTGAAATCTACAAGAAAATTAATTGATTTTCTTAGCCTCATTATTGGCTTATTGCAAGAATTTTGCCACATTTTGTTTTTTT